CGATAACAACTGGAGAGCTCTGATGGAATTCAGATTTTTAAAGAAATTTCCATTATAATGGAGACTTGTCAGTAAAGAAGTAATGGCCAATAATTCATTTACCCAGAGTTAATTATTAATAAATAAAAATATTAGAGTCTTATTTGAGAGACATGTTAAAACGCTCAGCATCATTTATCTTTAAACACTTGGCAGGTTTTGATTAAATACTTGAATTACAAAACTCTCTCCCAGCATCACTAGCAAGCACGGGCAGGTGCAAAGGAAGATGACTTTGGATGGGTTGTTGTCAAGGCCGGGCTGAAGTAGCAGCATTTCTAAAGTTAAAATCCAGAGAAGCATTATAAAGTCAAAGAATGTTGGGTTCTCTGTAGAGCCGAAATCCTCTTATTTAAATGCTATGTGTCACAAAACTTAAAAGCATCACAGAGGAAGGAAAGGACCTGGGTTGAAAGAAGCCTGAATTCTTTGAGAGGGACATGGTTTTTCACATCTGTAACACCACCTGAACAATGTCTCATGGAGAAGGGGCTCAGGACTCAGTAAAAGACAAAAAGTCAGAATTGTCCGTTAAAAGAAAGATCCAGTCTTTAAAAACAAAAAACAAAAAACCCAAACCAGAGTATTCAAAGAAAAAGAGCAGATATTTTAAGAGTCTATAGTCAAAAACGTAGAACAGAGCAAAGAATTTAATCCCTTTATGATCTTAGAGCTGTGATGGAAAGCCACAGGTCAATATTTCACAGCCCAATGCCTGTTACCGACACTATCAATGTAACTTCTTAAGTAATGAGCGCACAGGTAAGCAGTAATCACACACATCCCATTTTAAGAAGTGTGCCACTCCACAATTCTCCTCTATTACGTAATGTGGTAGTTTTAATCATTAGGTAGAGCTGGGTTGGTTTCCCTGATAATCCTGAAGCATGTCTATGTATATGTACTTGTATATTTATACTTAGGTAGATGTGATGTAATTGGGTAGAATTAAAGTTGTTAGTTGGGAACTGCTAGAGAACATCTCTGGATCACTGGAATTTCCAAAGCAGGATCCAAACTCTGAGATTATGGGCTTGAGACACTTAGATTCAAACCTGGAAGGAGGCTGAAAATCACCCAGAGAAGGAGAATGAAGGACAGCTTCCTTGATACCAGGGATCAAGTTCAGCCTGACAAGTCAGCCGCCCCGACACCAACAGCAGCCACCGACTACTGGCGTATGGGCTCAAGTGCTTGTAAGGAATGAGTCTCAAATGCTCTTGTGATGACACATCAGACCACTGGCAACCAGGAGATGTTTTCGCCAGTCTGGTCACTCTCCTGACTTCAGTTACGTCATTCAGGCACGCTAGGGCATGGGCATCCGCTTTTCTTTTGGGGGCCAGGGAGCAGCAAATACGTGATACAACCTCCTAGCACCGGACATGTTGAACAGATCTTTCTTACTCTTCCAGCCCAACCTCCAGAGCTGTGAGCAGTCCTTCCATCTCTCCAGTCTGACGGAGGAAAGAAGCAAATGACCGTACCGCACAAGTTACACAACTCGGATGCATGAACCCCAAAACCGTTCATTCTACCATCACGGTGACCGCGGAGGGTCACGGAGAGGGAATTCTGTATTTGTTTCTTGTCCACAGATGGAGTAAGGTGGTTACGGCTGACCGAACACACAATCACAGGCTCCTCCAAAAGCTACAAGAGCGTTCCTGACCTATGGCTCCAAGTTCCAGAACTCACTGCTTGCAACACTGATTTCTGGGGGCGATCCTCTGCCTGCCACAATTACACAGCCACTTAATGAGCCCAAGTTGTGTCCATCACACACTATAATGGAATAATTTGCTATTAATGAAGGCTGTTCTGTGTGCATTAAACACCCTGTCTCATTTAGAATTCGCAACTCTATGAGGTGCGTGCAGATCTACAGATATTAAATAACTGGACCAAGGTCACACCACCAGGCTTCAGATCAGTCTGTCTCTAAGTTCTTAATTATCCACGATGCACGACAACACTTCAAATACATGTATAAGGAGAGAATATAGCCCAAAACATTTCAATTAGAATGAAAATGTGTTCACTGCATTAACGTTTAAAAAAAAGAAAAAAGAAAAACCCTACACACTCCAACGAATTTTGCTACTCTTGCCAGAATAAAAAAAAAAAAAAATTTTTAAAAAGCAAATAGATTCCAACTAGTCTATACTTCCATTTATATTTAGAATATGAGCTGGGCTTGAGTATGTAATGAATATATATGTGTGTCTCTCTGTGTATAACACCCACATTATTCAAAAGCTCCCAAAAATGTGAGAAGTTTCTTCCAATCCTTCTTTATTTTGTCTACTTTAAGAATCCTTTGCAATATGCTTATGTAAATACTGATTTTAGCTGCTGTTCTCTGTTCTCAAATCTTCAGCTTATAAATGGATTGGAAAAGTAACAGACCTAAGCAGACATCTTTGGAACACAAAACCAGAAAGATATAAACAAATACAACTAAATCAAAAACAAAGGATTCTTTTTTAAATTCTCTCACATCACAGACTGATAAATGGAAAGAACTGCCAGAAAGTAGACTACACTGGCTGTGGACAGGGGTGTACACAGGCACACGTGAGTGTGTGTGTGTGTACTTGGGCGGGTGTCTATTTTATTAGCAGGCCTAATGATCAGCATTTTACCCTAGCTCCCTGGAAGTTCTTTAAGAGCATAAACTCTAATGGAAAGGAAATTGTGACGTTAGAGTAACGCTGGGGCAACGGAGAGTATTCAAGAAAACAGTTCCAGGTCATTAAACCCAACAGGTGAGTGCCTCAGTTTGCTTACACCAGAGTTCACACTATGGTTCAACGGCATTAAAAACACAGTGACTTTGCTGGTGAAGTGTCTCCGTCCACACTTCGGAGAGATGCTGAAAAGGAAAGACAGGGTCCACATATCACCAGCCCACTTACCTGATGCTGAGCCTTCATTACAGACACAAGTAAAGGCTAATATAATATCACAGATCATAAAGCACAGTGCAAAAATGTTGACACAAAACTCTTATAAGTTGTGAATCTACTATTTCCACTCAGAAGCGTGAAACTCGCCAATGCTGATGTTAGGACCTGAAATCAAGTGTTACATGTGATACTGTTGACATGAAAATTGAAACGAAGACACTTTTTGATGAGAACTTGGCAATAATATCAATGGATATTGCACTCTGATAACAGAATAAACCCATTACTGGAAACACATTCTAAGTAGAGCATTTCTGTCAGAGTTCAGAGCTGACCATGCAAGCGGTACATATCTTTTCCATAAGCTAATAATACTACATGTTTTTTTTTTTCGTAAGCAAATTAAAAAAAAAGCAAGAGCAATTTTATCAAAGGGCAGACTTTTCTACTCCTCCAACACCGTGTGAGTATAAAACCCATTTTAGATTCGTAACTGCAAACTCTTTCCTCATTAAGAATATATTATTAAAGAATAAAAAAGAAACGCTCCTAGAATTAGAAAAATAAGTGACAAAAAATATAATAAAATCTTTGGTATTTCTACAGATGACGTTCTTCTATCAGGGTTATCATACTGACAATTAAAAAAAAATACTAGAATGTTCAATCTCCAAGTGATCAAGGGCTAAGTTAGTGGTTTGGGCCTCCTTCTACTGAAGAAAGCCAAGAGGGATAATTTAGCTTTTGGACAGAGAACAGACACTGGCAGCCTCCAGATTTTACTTCCAGCACCTCAACCCACATCCAGCCTGGTGTGAAGACGCGGCAGATGGACTACTTCTGTTATTTCGACGGCTTCAGCATCCTGCGGGTTTCTGGAAGCATGAATATTCAGCCACAATAAGGAGCAAGGATAAGTGTGCTGACTGTACTAAGCAGGTACCAAAAAATCTTTATCCTTATCCTTTTTCTCATTAGCACAAGATTAAGATCAAAAAAAAAAAAAAAACACTTAGAATATGCTACTTCTGCCAAGCTTGGAAAAGACTTATCATTCAACGAAATGGTGCTGGTTTTCATATATTTAATGTAAATGGATGAAGAGAAACGTGTGGGCAGAAGAAAACCAGTGTAATTAGCATTTTAGAGGAAAGAAATTTAAAGGCAACTAAACTGAATCAGTAATTATTTTCCACTTGGTTTTATTTTCATGATTTCATTATTTTCTCAGAAAATGCTGAGCGGGCATCAGAGGATCAGTGTTCATCACTGAGAACACCAGTCAGACGCCGTTAAATACCCCAGAAAACCTCCACACCGGCATGTTTTCCTCTCGTGTACATAATGCCTGTTGGTAACTCTTTTCTACGTAGATCTTGAAAAAGATTACTCAATCCAGGAAGGGTAATTTTGCTATAAATGAAAGAAATGAAGTGACAATTTCTCTGTGAGAAAATTACCTATGAGATAATCCCTGAAGAATGACACCATCCCAACCCCTCTGGAAGGACAGAGAAATGTCAAGAAATAAAATAACACACGTGCATTTGCTACGATGCAGAGTTCCATGGCTGCTTAGAGGAACTGTAAAGGCCACATGCTCAGACCATATGGGAAAAATCCATTAAAACACCACCTTTCATAAAAAAAAATTTTTTAAAGGCAATTCACTGTAACTGTGGGAAAGTTCTTTAAGAGATTTTGAAAATGAATAAAAAGCTCCATGCAGAATCTGAATTTCATCTTCCATATGACGCCCGTCACTAAAAAAACAGTGATGTAGGAGAGGTGGCACGAGCCATCAGTTCTCCGTCACCCTGGGAACCACACCTCCATCTCACACTGACTTAGGACCCCCAGGGCCCTATAGCTTATGCATTTTAAAAATAAAATAACCCTAATGAAAGGATGGGTATGAGTCTGCTCTTTAGGACTGAGAGAGGATTTCTTCGATTTTTTTGTTTGTTTGTTTTCACATCCTAATGAGCAAACGTCACAGAAGTAAATCAAGGCCAACGCAAGGCACACGTGGGGAAGTCGGGATCAACTTACGAAGTAGCCTGTTCCCAAGCTGGAGGGAGCTGAACTCTGCAATAAAGCAAAAAGAGAAAGTGGCAAATCAGCAACGGTTTGTAACACGTTCCCATCCGCGCAGCTCATTACCAGCCCTTTGTGGGTTTTCATCGCTACATCACGTCACTGGCGTGCACTGCCTCTTGTCATCTGCTACCGATGCAAACACCATGTTGGCTTAATTTCCCCCTTTACATCTCTCAACAACTCAGAGATGCTAACGTGCTGTTTACCGAATTCCAAGCTTCTGCGGTGGACGTAATTGCCAATTTATTTGACAGGCAGCTGGGTAATGAATTAATGATGGCATTTCGCCCCGCGCTGAGACTGAACAGACACGCATCAGCCTACCTCCCCGACTCGCTGACATTCAATGCCCGGGTCTCAAGCTACTCGGTTTTGTGGCCGCAAAGGGGCAGGCAAGAGGAAAAAGCCCAGACTGAGTTGAAAATAAAAGCCCAGTGGGTTTGGATGACTTTTCCAGTGTATGACCTACTTGCCAGTATATTCCCTAAAGGCCCCAGTTAGTACACACAGAGCGCTTTTCAAAAAGGAGACATTTTGTAAACATAATTAGTAGAATAAAATGCAAAGAATGTGAGGGTAAAGGGAAGCAGTGAAAAGCACCATTTTTCCCAACGGTTTTAGTCACAAGAATGATCAACTTAGGGCTTCCATAGTTCTGACACTGGGAAAACTAAAAATAAATAAATAAAATTCTGAAAGGTTTGTAGGGCATCGCTCCTTTAGGCAAAGAGGCCAAAAAGAGAACTTGGTTTTTGTTTTAAACTTGTCCGTGATCCAAGCTTGTTTGTACTTGTTTTTTCCTAAAACCTGTCATTACAATTTTTTAAAAATTTCTAGTCTCCTTTTCACGAACGAGAAAGTCCTCAAATAAGCTTGACACACAGAGGATGCTAGTTAGTACCGGGGTGGTCTTCTGGTGTCAGCGTGGTGTCCTCGCACCTGCAAGGCCTTCTCCCTGACTGGCCTCATCAGGTACGACACCTTCCCTGGGGGGGCGGACTTCCGCCCCCGCGAGTTTCCTCACTTCCCCTCTAGCTCTCCCACCTGAGTGTCCCTTCCCTGCTTTGCAGCTGCCCGTAGCAGGGACCACCCGCGGACATCGTCCCTGCTTCTCCAGCACTCAGGACAATGCTTTGCACGCAGGATGCATGTAACAAGTATTTGCTGAATTAATGTATGAATACATGAGAGGTTGGATTGCACAGGGGGAGAAAAAAGATCAGATGAATTTAGCATCTCCGAAAATACAGTAGATGGGAGTTTTCTTGATTTTAAACTGAGAGGGAACGACGGTGCTTGAGCTTCAACGGCATCCGCATCAAGCAAGGATAGTCCGCTCCAGGGCATTCCTAAATGCACTTCCCAGAGCAAAACTTTCTTCACTTGGTGTTGGGGAGAGGCTCGGAGCGAAGGACAACAGATGTGCGATCTTGCACACTGGACTTAGTTTAAAAAGATCTCGCTGCATTCTTGATCCCATAAATGGTGTGTAGGGAGATCACAGTAGCCATGGAGATGGCTTCTCATGGTGGTGATTAGCCATGTGACAGCATCACCTGTTTCCAGCACCCACAGCCCTCCACGGAATAGAGGAAGGAAAAAGCCAACTTAGGTCTCCACCACCCTGGAGCCATGCCCCTGGGAGATAAACTCATTTTAGGATGTATTACTCAGAAAGAACATGGGCCCTTGTTTATTTCAGGGTTTTTTTTTTCCCCCTCCTTCCTGCAGATGTATTTTATCCAGAAGCAGAAGTACCCCTCCAAACCCACCTCCCCACCCGCACATACATATCATCTTATTGTATACCAAAGAAAATTACATCCTTCAGGTCTGGGGAAGCTCTGTGACACTCATTTTGCATATATATTGTGCATTACTCCGGAGCTGGGCGGAGAAGGGGGCTTTGTTGTGCGTATGTGTTCTGGCTACTGTTCATGCAGGTCTGACTGAATGAGGGAACAGTGGGTATCATTTCAATTTCTGATGTCAACATCAAATTACTTATTTAATTTCATGCCTGGCGAAGCATTGTATAGCTACACGCAGAATCATTTCACTTCATTTGTTATGCTGTGTTTTCGTGGCGATTGGCTTGCCTTCCAACTGACAGCTTTAATTACGACATGAATTTGATTGCACTAGCCGAGGAATTAACATAATGCAACAAAGCATTTAAGCACCCTGCCTTATAACACCCCCCCCACACACAAACACATGAAAGAACGCAGACACTGTATCCTCACGTACACTCCAAGTCCATTAGAGTTTCAGTATTCGCTAGAAAGCATACAGAACCTTATGGTCAGAGGCTGCCCACACTTCCCAACCCACTGTACTTCTTTTTCTAAAGAGGAAAAAGTTGGGGGCATGAAGCTATGATTTCTAGATTTGGGGGGAAAAAAAAAACTCTGAAAAAAATCCTCCTAATCTACTTTGCCAAACATCCATAGCACTGACATGTCTTCCTTTCTTACTCCTTCGCCACCATATTTTTCTTGGCTACTTGCCAGCTCCCTTCAATCATCACTGGAAAATCTGAACAGAAATCATATCTCTGAAAGAAGTACCTCCTCGTCCATTCTTCAACCTCAAGAATGTGGCTATGGCCTTGTATTCACTGGGACACGATCCCTGGTCACCAACACGATCTCCACCAGATCTTCTATTATGCAGATAATAGAAGTTCTGAGACTACCCACAGGGTGGGGGTCAGGGTTTACGGATAGCCCCTGATACACACCAGATGCCTTAGGACTTGGTAGCCAAAAGGCCCAGAAGAGCCTCAATCATTAATACCTAATCTAAGTTTGTATCTGAATATAGACGCAAATACTGGACAGTATTAATCTTTCTTCCAAGTCAGAAATTCATGAACACCTGAAACCATGATTATGCTATAGAAATGTCTAGAAACAGCTTTTCTATTGTTTGAAATGTGTTATGTTAGCTAAGTTACAGATGTGCATTGAGGGATTGGCACCAATTTCTCACATAGGAAACAAACAAACATCAAGAGGTAAAAGGCCTAGGAAAGCAAAGAAACGGTGATGCACTGACCACTGAACCATTTGATAAAATCAAGTTCATTTCAACTTTCCATGTTGCCCCCAGTCAACATCTAATGAGAAGGGGTCCTCCTGGTTTCTTCCTTTTTTCTTTCTTTCTTTCCTATTTTTTGCTGTAGAAAGAAGACAGACTCTGTCTAAACTATACAGCAGAAAGTGCCATAGAATCTAGAAAAGATGAGGAGTTAAAATGAGGCTTGAAAACCAGAGATGTTTTAAAAAAGAATGCAACAAACAAAAGTGTCCTCGGATTCGAAAGCATTTGAAATAATACCATACACCCATGTTTAGGCAAATACTTCTGTTGAATCATGGAAAAGGCTTCATTCTTGCTTTTTCAAATGGCAGAGATGCCATTTCATTCATATTTTCAATGCACCAGGTAGAAACGAGAGGCAGAAAGACTGAGAAAACAGAGCAAGAGAAAGTGTTTGGCCATGAGAAGACGAGAATCTGAGGAAAAGCCAGCCTGCTGGCTATCTGATATGCAATTTCGGGGCTCATTATAAGCCATCTCCTATCTCACATGGTCTTTTCATTCTGCTGGGTTCTCTCTCTCCCTTTTTTTGTAGGTTCGACCACTGCTCCAGCAATCTCTGCAAATTACCTGCCTCCATCTCATTATGTTGCAAAGGAGAGCTCTCTTACAAACACACCGCCTCCATCGCCAAGCCACACGGACTGTGGGGACAGTAATGGCATGCAATGGAAAGACATTTTCCGGGAGCTAGAAGGTTGCAGCTGACATTCAAGTGTGCAAGCGGACATTCATTAAACGCTCATTCTAGTCTTCCTCGCTGCTCCCTTTCTTTCCATCTCTGTCACTAAGCTATCATGGAAGCCGCTCATTAAACTCATGACGTTAACATTTCTGTGTTAACAGCTTACCTAAAACAAGGGATTTCAAAATTCATTATCCATCTAAAATTGGTGTGCTCCTTTCCTTAGACATCTATACAGAGAGGCCACGGCTACAATGATCACTCCTTGAGTATGGGATGGATGTGTACTTCACCCCTAAGAGGAGGATATATGCTCTGACCCTAGGGTTAATTTAAGTAGAATATTTAAAAATTGTTCCACAACACCAATCGTGTCTAACATCTTTGCCTACCCACCTTCCTGTTAGGATTTTCTCTCTTGGGAGTAAAAACCAGAGGATTGTGCCAATAATCACACGGCCAAGCGCATTTCTAGGAAAGGTCACAAAGCAAGCTCATTCATGGGTTTTCTGGTACATTTTAAGAAACAATGACAATTAAAAAAAAACTTGAAATCTCAATCCTAGGAAATGTGCCTTGGAGACAGGATTATTAAAAGCTAATAAAGACACAAACTGTATTTGAATGGGAATTACTACCAGAGGGACTCAAATAAAAACAGGCCAACAATTAAAAACAGAAATACCGTATGATCTGTTCCCCTACTGCGTTTACCCAGAGAAAACAAAAACACTAATTTGAAAAGATATCTGCACCCCTGCGATTACTGCAGCATTATTTATAATAGCCAAGATACGGGAGCAACCCAAGTCCCTCCAAGATGAACGGATAAAGAAAACGTGGTAAGGTTTCAATGGAGTATTACTTAGTCATGAAGAATGAGATCTTGCCATTTGTGACAACATGGATAAACCTAGAAGGTTTTAAGCTAAATGAAGTAAGTCTGAGAAAGACAAATGCCCTAAGATTTCACTTATGTGGAATCTAGAACAAAACAACAAACAAACAAGAAAACAGACCCTGAAATACAGAGAACAAAGCGGTGGCTGTCTGAGGAAAGGTGGGCAGGGCAGAATAGATAACGGAGATCAAGAGGCACAAACTTCCAGATATTAAATGAGTAAGTCATGGAGGAGAAAAGTACAGCATAGGAACTCGAGTCAGTAAGACTGTCATGAGGCTGTATGGTGACAGATGG